TGTGTCAATTCTCACCATAGGAGCAAGCGGTGTTAGAGACCTCTGTGTCTATTCTCACCATAGGAGCAAGCGGTGTTAGAGACCTCTGTGTCTATTCTCACCATAGGAGCAAGCGGTGTTAGAGACCTCTGTGTCTATTCTCACCATAGGAGCAAGCGGTGTTAGAGACCTCTGTGTCTATTCTCACCATAGGAGCAAGCGGTGTTAGAGACCTCTGTGTCAATTCTCACCATAGGAGCAAGCGGTGTTAGAGACCTCTGTGTCAATTCTCACCATAGGAGCAAGCGGTGTTAGAGACCTCTGCGTCTATTCTCACCATAGGAGCAAGCGGTGTTAGAGACCTCTGTGTCAATTCTCACCATAGGAGCAAGCGGTGTTAGAGACCTCTGCGTCTATTCTCACCATAGGAGCAAGCGGTGTTAGAGACCTCTGTGTCTATTCTCACCATAGGAGCAAGCGGTGTTAGAGACCTCTGTGTCTATTCTCACCATAGGAGCAAGCGGTGTTAGAGACCTCTGTGTCAATTCTCACCATAGGAGCAAGCGGTGTTAGAGACCTCTGTGTCAATTCTCACCATAGGAGCAAGCGGTGTTAGAGACCTCTGTGTCAATTCTCACCATAGGAGCAAGCGGTGTTAGAGACCTCTGCGTCTATTCTCACCATAGGAGCAAGCGGTGTTAGAGACCTCTGTGTCAATTCTCACCATAGGAGCAAGCGGTGTTAGAGACCTCTGTGTCAATTCTCACCATAGGAGCAAGCGGTGTTAGAGACCTCTGCGTCTATTCTCACCATAGGAGCAAGCGGTGTTAGAGACCTCTGTGTCAATTCTCGCCATAGGAGCAAGCGGTGAGACCTCTGCGTCAATTCTCACCATAGGAGCAAGATGTGTTAGAGACCTCTGCTTTCAATACGCTTGTCGTTGTGAGGCCAATGCTCAACCCCTCTCCCTCGTCACGTTTGCCTCCCCAAATGAAGCCAGGTACCCAACTCCAGATGGAACTCCTGGGGGGGGGGGGGGGTGATAGTCTGCACAAACTGGGAATCGCACCCGCAACTTCATCATGTTTCAAGGGGCAGTGTGCACCATTGCAATCACCCCAAGATGCATGTCACACGCATCGGGCGCACGTGTCTAGGCTAATAGGCCATTCACACGACGTGCAACACACATGCACGCGTGTACAGACCAAGAAGTCACTGAAAACCGTGATCCAGTTGACACCCTGCCCCATAGTTATCTGAAAAAGCCGGGAAATTTTAAATTTTTGAATTCCCCTTTTGAAATAATAGTACACACGCACTGCATTTGCTACGCGCACTTTCCACAACCGTCACATGCTCGCGTGCTCGTGAGCACAAATGCTCCGGCCAAGTTCAAAAATAAGTTGCACGCGTGTGTCCAAGTTTGCACGTCGTGTGAATGGCCTATAAAGGGGTGAAGTCCGCACAAGTTTCAGCCGCACAAGTCGTGGCACCTGAAACCACACACGTGTGAGGCCTCACTCGCGAACTTTGTTTCTTATTGCAGGATATGAAAACAGTGCAATTTCCAGCTCTCGTGTAGGTCAAGTGCATCTTAAATTCTGAATCTTTCTTTTGGCGCGAAGCTACTATTCTTGTGCATGACCTGTTCCAAGCTACTATTCTTGTGCATGACCTGTTCCAAGCTACTATTCTTGTGCATGACCTGTTCATGACCTGTTCATGACCTGTTCATGACCTGTTCATGACCTGTTCATGACCTGTTCATGACCTGTTCATGACCTGTTCATGACCTGTTCCATCATAATGATTGTAATGCTCTATATCGTACCATCCAAATGCACAGTGCTACAGTCCATTTCAAAACTATAGACCCGCGTACCTAGGCAAAAACCGTTATGCCAGCATCTATACCACATAAAATCTGTGATCACTTTGTGCATAATTTTTTCAAAATTGGGCGTCTGTTATCCAATCGTTTAGAAACCATAATGAGAGTAATTGTGGAGCGGACCTGAGCAATATTCCGAAAGCTATTCTCAAAAAGTTCCAGCCAAATTTGAAATATTTCGAAAACACTGCCCGTCTGTAGTTTTGAAATGGACTGTAAGTACCCTGACTGGAAAATTAAAGAAATGGAAATGAAATGTTCCCCTTGATTGCACTGCCAAGGTGCAAGTACATTATGGGACTTCCCCTTGATTGCACTGCCAAGGCCCAAGTACATTATGGGACTTCCCCTTGATTGCACTGCCAAGGCCCAAGTAAATCATGGGACTTACATGTATATCACACTGGGCTCATCCTTCTTCTGACGGGCATACTGGGCCGAGAAATTCTCGGAGAGAAATTTATCGTGTGATGTGTCTATCAACTTTTGTTTTGGGATTCGTCTCACCCAATTCACTCATCCTTCTTCCGACGGGTATACTCGGCCGAGAAATTCTCGGAGAGAAGCTTATCGTACGATGTGTCTGTCAACTTGCACTTTGGGATTCGTCTCACCCAGTTCACTCATCCTTCTTCCCACAGGCATATTCGGCCGAGGAATTCTCGGAGAGAAACTTATCGTACGATGTGTCTATCAACTTGCGCTTTGGAATTCGTCTCACCCAATTCGCCAGGCGTACACGGCATATCGGGCAAGACAGGTTGGACTTTCCCAAAATTAAGTCGAAGCAAGTCACACAAATCTTGTGATTGCACGGGAAGGACACTGAGGCGTACACTGCATATTGGGCAGGACATGTTGGACTTCCCCGAAATTAAGTCGAAGCAAGTCACACAAATCTTGTGATTGCACGGCAAGGACACTGAGGCGTACACTGCATATTGGGCAGGACATGTTGGACTTTCCCGAAATTAAGGCGAAGCAAGTCACACAAATCGTGTGATTGCACGGCAAGGACACTGAGGCGTACACTGCATATTGGGCAGGACATGTTGGACTTTCCCGAAATTAAGTCGAAGCAAGTCACACAAATCTTGTGATTGCACGGCAAGGACACTGATTCGTACACTGCATATTGGGCAGGACATGTTGGACTTTCCCGAAATCAAGTCTAAGCAAGTCACACAAATCTTGTGATTGCACGGCAAGGACACTGAGGCGTACACTGCATATTGGGCAGGACATGTTGGACTTTCCCGAAATTAAGTCTAAGCAAGTCACACAAATCTTGTGATTGCACGGCAAGGACACTGGTTTATGAGTTTAAAGTCTCTGTCCACCGGTCACATGTGTTGACTTGGGTCCGAGCTCATGATGATGCTAGCTTGGGGCATGTTTGATTGGTGAATTCGGATTCAGATCAGATTCACTGGAGCAGTCAGAACAACAGTTCCCAATCAAACAGAAAACAGAACAAACAGATCATATTTTTGCCAGAAATATTGGAGAACTCATGATAGCTCACCATGCCGTGAACTTCAAATTTCCACAGAGTTGATAGATTTGCCTCAGTCATCTCCTTATAATATTTTGGCTCTTTCTTCCGCTCTTCGCCTGTTTTGTTCTGATTATCTGGGAAACTTTCAAAAGATCTCATGAGACTCTTCCAGCGATTCTCACAATTTTCAGCGGCAGGAAGGTCTTTCAGATTGCGGTTCTCGTCCGCAATGTCGGCGGCCACTTTGGCCCAGCCACTTTTTCTTTTTGTAATTAACATCCGAAAACATTTCATCTCGGCGTGTGCGGCTCGTAATCAGGGATAGGTTGAGAGAATGGGACCAACAGAAGCCACTCTTCCTCTCAGTAGCTCCAGAATCCATGACGAAGGCGAAACAAACTAGAAAGGCAAACACAACTGGAGAAGATGCTTCGAAGACAAACACAAATTCAATAAGGAAAGTGGAGACCTCCATGCACTTGACCACGTCATTTACAAAATCTCTTAACATGTCTGAATCGGTTCGAATCGAAACAAAAACTTAACTCATTGCGTAGCCCTGTCAGGTTTTCATTGGGCTTTGCAACTTGCTCTGGCTGCTCCAGCCTTGGGGGTCGGAGTGACCAGAACATGTTCCAATTACTCCAAAAGCAGTGCAGACCAATCAAGCGCCCCTGTTCTGAACGATCCTGTTCCGGATCCGACCAATCAAACGCGCCCTAAGACAAGTCTGCTGCAGTGGGTATCTCTATGCGATGGGGTATGCAGTGTTTCAGTCCTTAGTGCTAACGTTACTGGAGGTGTGAGGATCTTGAGACTTTTTGTCACTCTTATCTGCGCCGGTGGCATTCAGGAGTTAATGTGCAAACTGTACGGAACTCGTCCGAGGAAAATGAATTGGCTGGTGGCATGTGTATGCATGTGTGTACGGGAGTGTATGCATGTGTGTACGGGAGTGTGGAGTGCGTGCGTACGGGAGTGCGTACCGTATTTCCCCGATTATAAGTCGCACTCGATTATAAGTCGCACCCCCATTTTCAGGTTTGAGCAATATTGTTGCGATATATTCACTTCAGTAGTAAGTCATGCTCGATTGTAAGTCGCACCCCCTTTTTTACCTTGAATTTTAGTGTGACTTACAATCGGGGAAATACGGTACCTACAGGAGTGTGTGCATATGGGAGCGCGTGCACGGCTAAATGGGCTCATACAACAACACGAGAGTGCGAATGTGGCTTCCCAGGCCTAACGAACGGGAATGCGGTAAAGTGCGGGGGGGGGGGGAGGTGTGCGGGAGCAAGAAGTTGTAGCGTATGATGAAGCTAACATTGGTGATAAGAAATCATCCTATGTAGTGCGTACTGACCACTCCAACTGAACAAAACAGATAACTGTGAGATTGTGGATGCGATTGAAATTTGATTATCTTTTCAAGAGGTTTCACTAAGTCCTGACTTGCTGCTTGTATAGTGTGAGTGCATTTCTGCTATAACGAACTTCAGCTATGAAGAACTAATTCTCCTGCACAATGCCTGTGTGTGTGCGTACGTGTGTGCGTGCGCGCGTGCATGTGTGTGTATGTGTGTGCGTGTCCGTGGGTATGTGTATGGATGTGTGTCTACTGCACAGCCGTCCGAGGTAGATTGGATAACTGTGAATCTGGACATGGACAAGGGATGTCTCTGGTTTGAACGCAATGACAAGTTTCTGGGTATGGCCTTTGACAACTTACCCACTTCTGACCCGCTCTACCCAGCCTTCTCTGCTGTATTCGGAAACACCCGAGTCTCTTTAGTTTATGTGGGGTCACCTGTCCTTGGCTGAGGTCCGTAGCTGCTATTGCTGCTGCTAGTACTGCTGCTAGTGCCGCCACCATCATCGCCACTGGTGCTACTGCTGGCGCTACTGCTGCCATTAACCAGCAGCAGCAGCACCAGCACAACCAGCAGCAGCATCGCCACCATTCAGGTCTACTGCTCCTAATGGTTCTGTCGTTTTTTTCTGTTTTAATCTTCTCCACGTCTTTGTTCTCTCTGTCTCTTTGTCTGTCTCTCTCTCTCTCTCTCTCTCTCTCTCTCTCTCTCTCTCTCTCTCTCTCTCTCTCTCTCTCTCTCTCTCTCTCTCTCTCTCTCTCTCTCTCTCTCTCTCTCTCTCTCCCCCCCCCCCCTCCACCCTCCACCCCAACACACTCGCAAACCTGACCCCCGGCGCCGTGTTCTTCGTTGGTACGTCCTTTTCACCTGCCTGCTTTTAGGTTTTCGTAGAGCAGGACTATTTTGTTTACTACCCCTGTGTCTAGTGACTGCTGTTACCGCTACTGCTGCTGCTGCTGCTGCTTGTTCCCATTCTCACACAGACATGGGCTGTGTGATGGCTTGGCTCGCTCTAGTGTAACGTATTCGCTTTTTCATACTCCAACGATTGCATCTTATTCTGCCTACTGGCGAGGTATGAGAAATATGCATCTTGTCTTGCTCCTTTTGTTTTGAAGCTGGTCTTCAAGAGTAATCGTAATGACACGGACGTTTTGTTTTGTTTTGTGAAGCTGGCCGTTATTGTCTCCGCTAGCTGCTTACTGTTGGCTAGATTGCGATGGTGGATTCCATCGACAGTTGCTAGTTGCTCCAGTAGTTTGTTGCCCGTGTCTTTCCCACTCCTGCTGTCTGCCGCCCTGGATTATTTTTATTTTGTTGCCGTCGTGTCTACGAGTAGCTTTGCTGTCCGTTCACTTTAACTTTTTTTATGCGTTTTCCTACTTGAAGATATGGGACAACTGCCAGTGTGCTCAAGGCATTGTACATGGACTAGTAATGGACATTAATTTTTTATTCTTATGCCAGCTCTCTTCTCTCTTGTGTTCTGTGGTTGAGTCCGGTTTTTCTGGACGCAAGGTGTCTGTTGCACCTTGCATCCCTGGGTTGAGGGCCATGGGCTCTCTTATCTCGGCTGCTCGGCACCTTGGCATGCACGTCTGTCCAGAAATGATGCTGGTCACGTCATTTCTGGATTGTCTCAGTGCTTTGTGTAGATGATCCTATACGTGTACAGTGTCTGCTCTAGGATTGTAGGACAGCCGGTATTTATGTACTGTAAATATACAAATTTTCGGCAGCTATTTAATTTCGGCTACATGTATATTCGGCACCGACCCAAAACGCCGATGATTTTTTTCACAGCATCTGTCGCACTATACCATGCCCTCTACCCCACGCTGAAAATAAATCGCCGCCGAAATGTCAAAAATCGTGAAAAGCCGAAATTTTGTATATTTACACGGTTTATTGTATTTTCACATGCCGGGTTTACTCACTTTACTCAGGTGCACCGGTGCAACTTTACTACAGTCAGACCTCGTATAACCGCACACATCCGTTTTCCAGAAACATATCCGGATAGGCGAGGGAACCGGATAATCAAACACACAAACTGTATGTGTGCATGGCATATGCTGTAAATTGTCAACGAAGGATTTTCTTCCGTATGGCGAGGGATCCGGATAAAAGAGGACCGGATAAGCGAGGTCTGACTACCGTAACAGCACCATTGACCCGCCCCCTGTCGATGTTCTACCTGTGAAGCGATTTCGGCGTATACAACGAAATACGATGTTGAACCGACGCTTGCACTGCTGTACGCAATACGTGCCAGTCCAGGATGAAAATGTGCATATCGAGTCTGATCTTCCACATTGTTGTACATCGTACTGCACTTCACAGCCTTGATCTAATTCCCGTGCCCTGCCGAAAACCAGCTGGGAAGCGACATGGCGTGGCGGCGGATCAAGACATGGCGCGGGGCGGATCAAGACATGGCATGGGGGCGGATCAAGACATGGCGCGGGGGCGGATCAAGACATCGTGTGGGGCCCCGGGGGCGGATCAAGGCATGGCTTGGGGCGGATCAAGATATGGCGTGGGGCCCGGGGGCGGATCAAGACATGGCGTGGGGGCGGATCAAGACATGGCGTGGAGGCGGATCAAGACATGGCACGGGGGCGGATCAAGACATGGCGCGGGGGCGGATCAAGACATGGCGCGGGGGCGGATCAAGACATGGCGTGGGGGCGGATCAAGACATGGCGCAGGGGCGGATCAACGGTATTTTACGGTACTATAAATGAATTTTCGGCTGTGTAATATTTTCGGTATTTCCCAAAATCAACGGTTATTCGGTAGCGCGAAAATGTAAAACCAGTTTTCCAGATCAAAGATGCATTTTGCACGTTGTGACAGCGTGGAAAATGCATAGCTTGTGATGTGTGGCAAGGTATTATTGAATTTTAGGTCGCTTTTTATTTGTAGGTAAAAATTACCGGTACCTGTACCGAAGTTGCCGAGAATAGGGGCGCGTTAGAATTGTCACTCTTTGACTTTTCGAGGAGTTTCGTTTTTCTGAAGAGGTGGCCTTGTTGGCCTCTTCAGAAAAACGAAACTCCACAACCTCATCCGATGGGAGAGGTGGATTAGTTCCGAAGAGTTTGGAATAGCTGCGTCACGTAGTACGTGGAGATGGTCGATCTGATCGGACGTTATCATCGCCATGACAATTCCACTGAAAAACTCTAAAATGATAGAAAGTTAGAAACCGTTCTAATGGGACACTTCAACTGATCTCTTTAAAAATTTGTTCGAACCGTTGATGAAGAGAATTCCAACACCCCCTAAATCTCCGTCGAATTTTCCGGTTTATCAGTGAGTATCACCAAGAGCACATAAAAAAAAGGTTTATGTACTCTTGGTATCACAGGAGATGCCCCCGGAAAGCCCAAGTACAGTCATGTACTAGTACATGTACATGTACTGTACATGTATGTATGCATAGAGGGCTCAATACCCCAACGGGTCAGAGTAAAGACATCAGTTTGACCAAGACCCAAGAGTAAAAACACAACTCTTGGTTTGAGGGATTGAAAGGGGAAAGTTTGAGGAAAATATCACTGCCCCCTCCTCCCCCCCCCCCCCCCCCCACCACCACCAGGACTCGAACCAGGGATCGACCTTCCCAAGTGGTGGACAATTTTTCAACTGAAAGTACTTATGAAATAGTTTGCAGGCAACCTGCCTACACTCATGAAAGTACTTAGTTCTAAAAAAAAGCCAAAACCATAAAACGGTTACCATGGTTACTAACTTTAGGTAGTAGTACTGTTACTGGTACGCAGCGCATTTGGCCTCACACTGTTACCATGGTTACAATTACATACTCTTGCTGGTAAACTCTACGCTTACCATGGTTACTGTCTAGTCTACCATGGTCTACCGCGTACCGGTAGGCAGTCCACACTTGTGTAGTTGTAGTGTACGATCATGTTATTTTAGTGACAAACACAAAATAAACACGCTCCAGGCTACAGTGACTTCCTGCGCCCCATGTTGACTGACCTGGAGTGTCGGAGACCACTGACGACGCACTGACCCTGGCATGGAGCGGTGTTGGTCGTGAGTGGAGTGGACCGGAGCATGCAGACAGGCTGTCGAATGTCGCTGACTCCGCCGGAAAGACACACGTGCTGGGTAGATAGTTGACCATGGTTGACTGCATGCAGTACACTAGTAGTAGAGACAGGCGTTTTGTTGAGCTTGAGCTTTTGCTGAGCTTTTGCTGAGCTTTTGCAGTTTTGCTGAGCTTTGTAGCTAGTTGAGCTCACATAGTCATTGTGTCCAGTAGCGGGCGTACATATACTTCTTCTCGCTGGAGTGGTTGGGACGTTGGGTGGTGTCGTGGTGGTGAGCTGAAGCCGCTGAACGTACTTCTGACAATGCCCACCTTGCTCTCCATTCTCATACTCATAGTCATAGCTTGCCTGTACTTGCCTCAGGCTGTAGCCAGTACTGTGGCGTAGCAACTGGCAGCTAGCCTGAACAGCCTGAAGCCGGTAGCTGTTAGAACAGCGTGCTGTCACCACGTGTAGTGAATTCGCCAGACTGTCGAAATGTCGTAAACTGACGACGTCGTACTGAATTGCCAAGACATGTACATCTCCATCAGTCACGGATACGAGGCAAGGAAGGAGTGGTGAGAATTAGAAAGAATCCAGGAGGGAAAATGAAAAAGAAGCGGAAGAAAGGAAGTAAAGAGTGCAAAGCGAAGTCGTACTGAAGTCGGAACAGCGACAGTGACAGCTACACTTCATGTATGCAGACATTTTGTGGCGACACGGACGGACGGTACGGGAGTCGGTAAGTAAGTATGTATAATATGAAGTAGTTGGGAGCAGACGTAGTAGTAGTAGTAGTAGTAGTAGTAGTAGTAGTAGTAGTAGTAGTACCGCTATATGTGCAGGGAACTGTCGTGGACGTGCGAGAAGCGTATTTCAGTCGACTCCTGACACATAATCCATTGTCCCGGAGAATTGGTTCTTTATACTTCAGTAGCCGAAGTAACTTAGTTCGTTATCAGAATTGCACCCACACCATGCACGCAGCAAGTCCTGAGTCGGATTGACTGATATGTGGCCCATGACAGTATGCGTGCACTTGATGTACTTTAGTACATGCGGCCCTACAAGATTTGGTTTGTTATAAGCGAAACCTGTTTGCTATAAGGGGTCAATTTTGTATGGGTTCAAACAGGGACATGGATGATGGTTCGCTATTACCGTATCACGAAATTCGCTATATGCGAGTTTGTTATACATGTAAGTGGAGTGCACTGTATTACTGCACATCGATCCATACACGTACCATACACGTACACGTACCATACACGTACCATACACGTACCATACACGTACCATACACGTACACGTACCATACACGTACCATACACGTACCATACACGTACCATACACGTACCGTACACGTACCATACACGTACCATACACGTACCATACACGTACACGTACCATACACGTACCGTACACGTACCATACACGTACCGTACACGTACCATACACGTACCATACACGTACCATACACGTACACGTACCATACACGTACCGTACACGTACCATACACGTACCATACACGTACCATACACGTACCGTACACGTACCATACACGTACCATACACGTACCATACACGTACCGTACACGTACCATACACGTACCATACACGTACCATACACGTACCGTACACGTACCATACACGTACCATACACGTACCATACACGTACCGTACACGTACCGTACATGTACCATACACGTACCATACACGTACCGTACACGTACCGTACACGTACCATACACGTACCATACACGTACCATACACGTACCATACACGTACCGTACACGGACCGTACATGTACCATACACGTACCATACACGTACCGTACACGTACCATACACGTACCATACACGTACCATACACGTACCATACACGTGTATGGTACATGTACCATACACGTACCATACACGTACCGTACACCAGGTACACGTACCGTACATGTACATGCACTGTGCCATTCCCAGTGCATTTTACCCCAAGTGTGCAGTCATGTCATGGTCTGTTCAGTACTGCACTGGTCTGAGCACAACGTTGAGAAGTTAGGAACAGACATGTTTTGCCACTTGCAAAGCTTGTACAACACCAACCACTGAGAGTTTCTATGATGAGTGCATGTATTGAGGGTGGACAGAACACATTGCTGTCTGCTGATTGGTTGCCACACAGCCAATAGAGGGTATGCGATTACGTCATCTTCACGTTTGAGATGTTCTGTACGGTGAATGTACTACAACAATACACTAGCTCAAGCGAAGCGCCGACTCACGCAATATTTACTCAGCTCCTGTACATGTATGTGAATCGGCTGAGTCATGTGGTGTACCGGTACTCAGCGCCCATAAGCGAATCCGCTGGTTCACCTACATTTCTATCACTTCTACAGTGCTGT